ATTTCTAACTGATGTAGCAACATACAATTGACCTTTAAAGACAAAAATCACAATCTTAGTTCGAACATTGATTTTTTCTTCCAAATACTATCGAATTAAGTGTGTAATCAATAAAAGATGAGAACTAATAATTCGAGAATATAATCTTAATGTTAATAAGCCTACTTCACGTAAATTAAGTTGGAGAGTGTTGTTGGATAGTTCCGATGAATCGACGAATAATCCATCTTTGTCTCCGTAGTCCTCAATATGCACATCAACAATCTTAAATATTAGGCCGCCTAGCTATGCCATATATTAATTTCAAACTTATGAACTTTGGGGTTGCATGCAATAAAAAGTATATTTTAAATATACTAAGGGTACATTATATATGTATGTAAGGTACTTTCAATATAAAAATAATGTATTTTTAATATATTAAAAAAGTATTTGATATTCATGATCCATACAATTATGTGGACCATCGTTCACACAATAATTTGCCGGTAGAAATTGAAATATAAATAAATAAATAAATAAATAAATAAATATATATATATATATATATATATATATATATATATATATATATATATTAGAAACTGTCAGTGGAAACTATTATCATTATTATTATTGTAATTATTATTATTATTGTTATTGTTATTATAATTAACAATATTATTATGGTCTTGTGAAAATTAAATATTGATTATCACCATTTAATTTTCACAAGACCATATGACTTTATTATATATAGGATTTCTAGATCCAGATTTAAGCATTTATGAACAATAGAGGAAAAATATGTTGTCGAAAACTATAACAGCTTTGTAAATATCTTTTATACACATGGCAATTTTGTATCAACCAAATATATGGCATTTCCCAAGAGTATTTGAATTTGGTTGTTCCGCTTCCCCAGTATTTTAGTTATTTGGTGCACCTACAATTTTACTGGGGGTTTTCGCCTTCTAGACGAATATCTTCATGATAAAATTTCTATATTTCTGGGGTGGCAAACTTTCTATACTAGATCTAGTTTTGTAAATTCTTACACCAATAAATTTCATATGCTTCCGGCATAAAGAAAAATGGTAGAGATATTTAGTCCTGATTGGGGATTTCAACTCTTAATATATATGAAATACTTGCTATTGACTTGGTCACTCCTTGAGATTTCTAGCAGATAATTTGTTCAATGTCTTAATTTCTAATTCTGTAAGACTAGTACATGGGTTTGAAGATTTTTATCAATTTTTCGGCATTTAATTAATTAGAAACTTCAAATCTCCCCCTAATGCCGAGAAAAGATCTTATAATGCAACCAACATCTGTTGATTACTCATTATGGGATATAAGTAGGAGGGTTGCATACTAAAAAAAATAAACGCAAATAGGGAAATGCATCATGTACTAGCGTTTGTGATATGTAGTGGATCAGCATATTGGTTTTTCATTCTGGAGGTCCCCAAAATAGATATATTTCCTCCATAATTGTTTAACAAAGCTCTTACAAAATATGATATTGTATATCTTTAAAAGATTATATCAAGACAATTGGAGAAACAATTAAAGCACTCAACATACAATGTCGTATGGAGTGGACTCATCAAGATGACATATCATAATTACCATCTATTAATCATGTTTTCTAAAAACTAAACATCAATTTGGATGCATGGCATATGATTTCTTAATAATTGCCATAAAGAAAATATCACATAGTGATATAAAAATACAAACGATGGCCAATATAATATAAGATAATTATAAAATATTGTCTTTGAGAAAAACACTTATCTGATTTCTTTCAAAATACTATTTGACAATTGTATGACCATCGTATGATCTCTTCTAATGTTGGTAATTGCCAATGTTGTCTCTCACAGGTTTGACAAGGATAATCAAACTATCAATAGATTGTTATTACAACAAACATTGCAATCAAAGCAAAATGTACTAATTATTAATCTTGGAGTCTCTGTGAACATACATGACTCCAATTCCACAAGACTATAATTAACAAGACTTGCATTAATCAAATTATTTGTATTAGGGAGACATCATTTGAAGCAACATTAATCCCAATGTAAGTGTCACGAGATGCCATGGCTGAACTTGTCATACTATTAGTGGAGATAATAACAGAATTATTATCATGACCACCAACTTGATGAGTCATATTCTGATTAGGCACTAATGGAGAGCAACACATCACCTGCTGATCTTGTTGATCTCAGAAGTACGCATGGTGCTAACAAAGAGAAGGAAGGGCAGCAATGTAATTATGCTTCAATTGACAGTTATAACCGCTTTCCCCCCCCCCCCCCCCCCCCAATCATCTTGTATATAAACACTAGCTGTCATTCTGTTCAGATCAAGTTCTCTGATTCTGTTGCTCACTCATTTAGATCAATGAAACACATTTCTTCTTCTTCTTTCGATTAAGCTCTCTGCTTCCAAATCCATTATGGTATCAGAGCAGCGACGCTACACCTGCGCTGCCGCCGTCGGTGGATCGAACAGCGGCAATCCAGAGACGACTCCGTCTCCCGGACCTCTAACTCATGCGACTCCAGAAACTGTTCCACAGGGGAATCAGGCGAGTCAGCAGCGAAGCTTCAGCATGGGGGAACTAGACAATCCTCTCCTTCTCAGCGTTAATGACAGCCCAACAGTTGTACTGGTCAGTCCACTGCTTCTAGGAAGCGCCAACTATGGAACTTGGTGCATCAGTATGCGGATTGCGTTAGAAGTTAAGAACAAGTGGTGCTTGGTTGATGGAAGTGTTGCACCACTTGGCAGTGATCATCCTCAGTATTTGATGTGGAGAAGATCTAATTTGATGATCTGTTCGTGGCTGTTCAAGGCTGTGCATCCTTCAATCGCTCAGAGCATCATGCACTTCGACGAAGGCATTGAGATCTGGGAGGATCTAAGAAGGAGGTTCTCTCATGTCGATGCACAACGCATATCAGTTTTGGAGAATGAGATCTACAATGTGAAGCAGGGTCTCATGTCTGTCAGTGACTACTACACCAAAAGCAGAACCCTATGGGAGGAGATGAACACGTTGAGGCCACTTCCCATTTGCAAATGCAATCTGAGATGTGCTTGCAATCTCGTCGATCAGATTCAAAAAGAGAGAGACATCGACCAGGTAATCCGCTTCCTGCAGGGGTTAAATGATGATTATGGAAGTCTGAAGTCTAACATTCTCATACTAGATCCCTTACCTGAGGTATATGCAGTCTATGTCATGGCAGAAAAACTGGAAAGACAGATTGGTTTAAATAGTTTGAGTCTAGGACATTTGGATCCTAATGTTTCTAATGCAGTACAAAGCAACCAAGGTTCTATGAATGGAGAGGTCATTGCAACTTCTCAGAACACATATAATGGGAGGAAGAACAGTGCTATGAAACCTAAATGCACATATTGTGGGATGATAGGTCACACTGTGGACAAATGTTATAAAAAACATGGTTACCCCCCCCCCCCCCCCGGATGGGTGCCCGGATACAAATCCAAAGGGAAACAAGTTAATGCGGTGGCTAATGATGATATGGGAGATCTAGGGGTTACAACAGATCAACTGCAGAGAATAATCTCTATTCTCAAGGCTCAGAAACCTGCTTCAACCTCAGACACTACTGCTGCTGTTTCTCTGATGTCGAAATTTGAGGAGGTCCAAGCCATCAATACAGGCAAGTGTTACCTTTCCCACATTAACTCTCTTGCCTTATGCACATCCACTTGGATCATAGATTCTGGAGCTACAAACCACATTGTATGCTCTCTTGATTCCCTTGTTAACTATCACAAAGCCATTGGAGCTGTTGTGAACCTACCTACCGGCCAATGCATTAATGTTGAGCATATAGGAGATGTCAAGTTAAATGATGACATATGGCTAACGGAAGCTCTGCATATTCCCGCATTCAAATTCAATATTATTTCAGTGAGTAAACTAATCCAAGATACATCTTACAAACTCACATTTATGGATGGACAGTGTCTGATTCAGAGGAATGGTTTGATGGCTGGTTTAGCTAAGCAGGAAGGGGGGCTGTATGTGTTTAAGAAGGCAGCTGACATGTTAGATAGAAATCTTGTTATGCAATGTAATGATGCAATGATTTGGCACCAAAGACTAGGGCATTTCCCTATCAATAAACTCAATTTGTTTTCTGAAATTGATACTTCCAACAGCAAGGACTTTATTTGTGATGCTTGCCACATAGCAAAACAGAAGAGATCCCCCTTCCCTCTAAGCACTAGTACTTCTAATGCTTGCTTTGATCTCATACATGTTGATATTTGGGGCCCCTTCCCAATTTGTTCCTTAGGTGGACAAAGATATTTTCTTACCATTGTTGATGACTATACAAGATATACATGGCTGCACTTAATGAAAACAAAAGCAGAAACAAGGTAGTTTATTCGACATTTCCATGCTTATGTTTGTACTCAGTTTGGTGTTATGATCAAAGTGATTCGCAGTGACAACAGACATGAGTTTAACATGGAAGAATTCTATTCAGAGAAAGGTATAATTCACCAGAGATCGTGTGTTAATACCCCCCAACAAAATGCCGTAGTGGAACGAAAGCATCAACATATATTAAATGTGGCAAAGTCCATCAGTTTTCAAGCCAAGCTCCCTCTTCAATTCTGGGGGCTATGTGTTATGTATGCAGCCTTTCTCATTAATCGATTACCATCTCCAGTGATAGAAGGGAACAATCCATATCAAAGGTTATTCAAGAAAGTGCCAAATACTGAGCAACTAAGGGTCTTTGGCTGTTTATGCTTCGCTGCCACCTTGTCCACAAACAGACACAAGATGGCTCCAAGGGGAAGGAAATGTATTTTTGTGAGAATCCCAGCAGGCACGAAAGGTTATCTGTTATATGATCTGGAGGATGGTTCTACGTTTATCTCCAGAGATGTGGTATTCTATGAAAGGCAGTTTCCCATGTCTGCCTTCAACATCGCACAGCAAGCTGAGAAGTCACAGCCATCTCTGCCTCTGATCCCAGCATCTACGAATCTGGATTGTGATTTTGAGCATCAACCTGTCGAGCATTCGTCCAATTCCAGTCCAGCTATTCAGTCACCACCAAGACTTGATGATCAGTCATCACCAAGCCTTGATGGTCAGCCACCAAATTCTGAGCCTCTTAGTTCTCACACTCAGCCTAACAGTGAGACTAATGAGTCACAAGAGATGGTCACTTCCAAAGTCTCACCTGAGCCTAATCAGCCACGACGTCCTGTCAGAACTCGACATGCTCCCACTAAGCTCCAAGATTATTATTGTGATGCCATTATGGAGAAGAGCTCGTCTCCGCACCACCTATCAAAAGTCATTTCGTATGATAGCCTCACCTTGCCTCACATGATGTTCTCCATGGCTGTTACCTCTGTTGATGAGCCTAGAACATACAACCAAGCTGTGAAACATGATTGTTGGAAAAAGGCAATGGCAACTGAGATCAAAGCTTTGCAAGAAAATAACACTTGGGAGGTTGTTGACTTGCCTTCCGGGAAAATTCCAATTGGATGCAAGTGGGTTTACAAAGTTAAGCTCAAGGCGGATGGCTCCACAGAACGCTACAAGGCGAGGTTAGTTGCGAAGGGTTTCACCCAATAGTTGGGAATTGATTATGTTGAAACTTTTTCTCCGGTAGCACGGCTCACCACCATACGCACCTTTCTAGCAGTGGCTGCCTCACAAAACTGGGATGTTCATCAACTAGACATAAACAACGCTTTCTTGCATGGAAGCTTAGATGAGGAAGTCTATATGGTTCTTCCACCAGGATTTCAGAATGGCAAACCAGGACAAGCTTGCCGTCTGCTTCGCTCCCTTTACGGCTTGAAGCAAGCTAGCCGGCAATGGAACTTCCGGTTAACCAATGCCTTACCAAGGTTGCAGTAGGCGCTAGGCGCTAGTCGGGCGGCCGGGCAGCGCCTAGCGCCTAGGCGGTCTAGGCGGCGCCTAGGCGGATTCTAGGCGGGGCTAGGCGGGCACCAAAAAAATTAAAAAAAATAGTGACAGACTTGTAGTTCGACAATTATAATGAGGTTGTTTTCAACGTTCACTCAAATAACACATCTAAATAAATGAAATAATGATAATTTATAAGTCATAATGTCATAATAATATTAAAATCAATAATTAATGAAAGACGACATCGGTCAAAATCGGTCAAAATCAGACAAAATCGGTCAAAATTGGTCAAAAACGGTCAAAATCGGACGAAATCGGTCGACTCGGCCGAGTTGACAGACTCGGCCGAGTTTGACCGACTCGGCCGAGTTTGACCGCCTAGGCCGCCTAGCGGCCGCCTAGGCGGCCGACCGAGTTTTGGCCGCCTATAGGCCAAAACTCCAAGGTAAGTGGCCGCCTAGCGCCTAGGCGGGCGCCTAGGCGGCTAGGCGGCCGAGTTTTACATCACTGCGCCTTACTGAGCAGAGGTTTTCATCAGTCTCAATCGGATCCCTCACTGTTTGTTAAAGGCCATGGAATGAATTTTATTGCCACATTAATATATGTTGATGACATCCTTGTTTCAAGTCCCAATCAGAATTTGATCCAAGATCTTAAAGATTTCCTGGACAACACCTTTAAGATCAAGGATCTAGGTGGCTTGGGATACTTCTTAGGAATCGAAGCTCACAGAAGCAATGAGGGGCTAAACCTGTGTCAACGAAAGTATGCTATAGACATACTTACTGAAACTGGTTTTCTATCTTCCAAGCCAGTTAACACACCAATGTCACCAGGCCATCATCTACAGAAGGAAGGGGGCACACCATTGCAGGACATTGACGGATATAGACGCCTTGTTGGACGTCTTCTGTACCTCACAGCCACACGACCGGACATAACTTTTGCTGTACAACAGCTCAGCCAATTCGTTGATAAGCCCACAGCTGATCATTTGGTTGCAGCACATCGGATCCTAAGGTACCTAAAAAAGTCCCATGGCCAAGGTATCTTTTATCCAAGGAATGGTGAGATGCAGCTCAACGTATTCTCGGACTCTGATTAGGCTTCATGTCCAAAAACTCGAAAATCTGTTACCGGATTTTGCATATTCCTTGGCAATGCTCCTATCTCATGGAGAACTAAGAAGCAGCCCACTATTTCCCGTTCTTCCTCTGAGGCGGAATACAGGGCTCTGGCTGCCACTGTCTGCGAGGTTCAATGGCTCACGAACTTGCTTCATGATCTCCAGGTTCCCTTGTCTAGACCTGCTGCTGTCTTTTGTGACAATAAATCTGCCATCGCCATTGGAGAAAACTACGTCTTCCACGAGCGCACGAAGCACATAGAAATCGACTGCCACATTGTTCGTGAGAAAGTAAGCCAAGGCTTGATTAAACTTCTCTCAGTTTCTTCATCCAACCAAGTTGCGGATGGTTTTACGAAAGCTCTCCCCATCTCTGTTTTCCAAATGTTTGTCTCTAAGCTGGGCACTCAGAATCTTCACGATCCAGCTTACGGGGGGTAATGGAGAGCAACACATCACCTGCTGATCTTGTTGATCTCAGAAGTACGCATGGTGCTAACAAAGAGAAGGAAGGGCAGCAATGTAATTATGCTTCAATTGACAGTTATAACCGCTTTTCCCCCCATCATCTTGTATATAAACACTAGTTGTCATTCTGTTCAGATCAAGTTCTCTGATTCTGTTGCTCACTCATTTGGATCAATGAAACACATTTCTTCTTCTTCTTTTGATTAAGCTCTCTGCTTCCAAATCCATTCGAATTCTAATCAATTTATCAACACTCAAGAGTTAACAAAGGGCGGCGTGCTTCTTTCTGTGTGTATTCTAAGCGGCGGTGTGAGTAAAGATGGCTATGCGGGTTTGGGCTTCAAGGGCTGCTTCTTACCTTAGGATCTCGACTTTCCCCAGAGGCTTTGCTACTGTTGCCAAGGATTTGAAGTATGCAGACACTTGGATTGGTCAATACGAGTTGATTTTCTGTTACGATAAATTGAGGAAACAATAGCCAGCCCAATAGCTGCTTAAGCGGCATTAACACTTGGATTAAGAACAGAAACCGAATTAAAATTTGTGAGGTCCCCAAGTGTTGGTAGAGTTGACTGATTAGCAGGTGTCGAACAAGATTGTTGAACTCCACTGCCATGTCCACTAGCAGAGCACACCAAAACTCCCCTACTAACTCATAGAGGATTATTCAACACATTTGTATGAATCAAACGATTTACCAGATGAGTCATGAGTGAGAAGTTGTCTTACCAGAAGCAACATTTCCAGTTTGAGGGATCAACTCCATTCTGGAAGACTTATCCCAATCTTGACCATCATACGGCTTGGCCCTATGCCAGAGCGCCACGCCTCCACCTTCTGCCGGAACAATCGCGAGGCGACTTCTGTCGAACGATCGCACAACGCTGCCGTCGCCATCGCCATATGCAACCGGCAGAGAGAATATGTCTTTTTTTTTGGGTACTGGGGATACACTAAATATTCATACCTTAATGTCACAACCTTGAGATTTGAACAAGAAACACAGAAGCAGAGATAGAGAAAAGAAGAAGAAACAGATAGAGAAGAGGGAAGAAATAGGTAGAGGATAGAGAAGAAGAAAGGGGTTTAGGAGAAGAGGAAAGGAAATTAGGTTTCCTGATTTTAATTTCACAAAAGCATAAACATTTATGAAAATAAACAACTAAATAAATAAGGCAAGGCTAGCTAATACATCCAAAAACTTCTAACCAACTCCTGCAATTTCCGCCTCTGCAAGCTCCCAGCTGTCTACATCTAAACAAAGGCTTCATTGCAACTGCTTCCAACGGCCAGATTACGGAACGGTGTCGTTCCGTTCCTTTATTCAAATAATCTAACGGCTACCTTCTTACGACGCCGTTTAACTAAGTGACTGCGATTAATTGGTTTTCTCAAAACGACGTATTGCCGGTCCCTCAACTTCTTAATTCTGCCTTCCCACACTTAGCTCCTGAGAAGACTTCTTCCTCTTTTGGTCATGGTCATGACATTGCCCTCCTCTTCATATGATCCTTGTCCTCAAGGATCAAATGTTGGGAATTTCCTTGTGATATTAGGGGTAAGAGCATTCGAATGCTTGATGGTACTATGGGAATGAGGAAGGAACCAATCAGCACAGCTTGGGGCTTAATTCCATTTCAACAGATCCAACACATATTCGGCCAGCTTGAGTAAACCTCAAATCTACTCAACAGTACCAACTTAGACTTTGGGGAATCCTTGCATTATTATTCTGTTGCTATATTGATCAAAAATGGCCATAAGACCATCAAGCATCATGGACCCCTTCTACATAAACCCAAATCTGCTTATGCAAATCAGAGTCATTCAAGCCCATCCATAATCATATCTCAGCCACCATGAGTGTATCCCTCTTATTTGCTGCCCAGCCCAGCTTCTATACAGCAACAAACACCATCTGCAACTCAGTCTACATTCAGCTGTGAATCTCAGCTCATCAGCAATTCCAGAATTGCAGATCTGCAGCTCTGAGTGTGCTGCTGCATCTACCAAGATCTCTGATCTGTAGAACCTGCTCAGGATCTGCAATTCTTCTTTCTTATTACAATCTACATAGAGTGTCATCTCCCATGAAAGGATCCACTCTATGGCAACATCAAAACTCCACTTTAAAAGTTTCATTTTGTTGCTGCACTCAAGGCTTCATTCACAGGTCTTCCCATTCCGTAGCTCTGCAGATCGGACTCCCCAGATGTAGATCACATTCCATTCCACTTTCTTTTCCATTCACTTCCGCTCAGATGTCAATAGATCATAGGTCCACCAAGTTAGGTGAACCCTCCTTATGCCTCCAAGGATAAAAGCTCAGATCAGTCTACTATCTGGTCACCAGAATAATATTAGGGATATGCTGTAGAAGTCCATAATGTGCAAGAAGAGCATGTGTCATCCGAATTCTGTGTGGCTTCATTGGGGCCTTGCCCATAATAATAATTCCCAACTCATTGTGGCTGCATCTCTATCTCCAGTGTACAGCATCTGATGTATGATAGGAAAATATGGTATATTACTCCTTTACTGACATTTGTAGTCCCATATTTTTACCCATCGAATTCTTCCATTCTTACATATCACTGCCAAGCTTTTTAACGTACCAAGAGCCCTAGCATAATGTGATAACTGATAACTACTAGAAGACCTTCTAGGATGGCAGCTAAAGCACAGCAATTTGAAAACAGTAAGTGTACTTCTCAATGAAAAATTAAAGTTCCTATGCCATCCCTTCACATGAATCAACCCCAACAGAGCACAAATTATACCCACAATTGCAATCAAATACTCTCCCAATTCATTGAGCTTTTATCACCCCTTTCATCTCCCTCATACCAAGTCAAACAAATAACATTACAGCAACACAAGCAATAATAGTTTAAACTTGCAGCAACAAGAAACTTATAATTTTAGCATTCCTCCCGGATCAAATGGAAATTGCAAGGCATCTGTTAGGATCCAAAGTCCTCCCAAGCTAAACAGCATACCATCATAAGGATGCAATCCAATTAAGTGCTTGAATGTGGATACAAAAACTAAAGCTCGCAGTAACTCCTTCGTAATATGCTTGAAATTATCTCCATTCAGTCTCAAGAACTTTGGGAAGTGGATTATTGTAGGAGACGGAGAAAAATACCCCCTGCCATCAAGATGGAAGCTGCCTAGAGTTTTGTTATCTGTTACAAATTCTTCCTCACCTTGAAAGACAATAGTTACCATGCTTGCTTGGCCATCAAGAGCTGTGGATAATACTCTTGATTTTAGTGTAAGCAGTGTTGTATTTCTATGAATGATCCTTGCCCTGTCACTACCAAGAGTTTCCAAACCAATGGTTAATGGGGTGACATCCAGTAGGACAATATGGCCTACATTTCCCACCAAAACTCCATTCTGAAGTGTAGCTTGGAGAGCAAAAGCTTCATCAGGATTATCAAACAATCTTGACCCCAAATTAGTAGAAGGCAGACAACCCCTTTCGGGAGTCATGTACAGAATGTCATAGGGGTCATATCTAACATCACATTGCACACTAGGGTGACTCTGAGCATTCAAGGAAAACCCAACTCTAATCCTTCCTGGCTCAAAATTAACATTACTGTCAACCCCTTTAGATTCACCATTCTTTCCTAGAGAATTTAAAGCTCCAAATCCAAATGAAGAACACTCAATCAATGCAAGCCATTCCTCTCGTTTCAAAAACGACTCATCGGACACAATTGAGATATGCAAGTCTTTCATTATTCCATCAGACAACTCATAAGACACCACTACTAACTTCTCCGTTTGTTCATCAGAATTATTTAAGCCATCATCTTCGTCCTTATCACTTTCATCATCTATCCTATTAACATGGGCTGATACTTCACTTTTAGCAGTAAATTCAACATCAATTCCTTCATTGACATCACTAAGTTCCTCCAAATTATCATGAGGTGGTAGACTATCATCACGCATGCCATTATCAACTAAGCAAGGAGTAGCATTTTCATTTACCTCAATCACTCGGTCTGAGTTCCCAAATTCCTCAGCGTCGACAGAATCGGAATCGGAGCCGTGCACTGGTTCATGAGCATTCAAGCAGATGCACGTCTCAGCCGCATCCAGACCGCCGCCCTTGGCTTTCTCCATCAGATCAGGCAACATCTCAGCTTCTGAGTTCAGCTTCTCCCCTTTCGATTCACCGGCGAGGTCCTCAATTTCTTCAGCCGCTGGAATCGACGGAGCTGAACTGATGCTTCTGCCATGAGCTGAAGAAGGAACAGAGGTAGGAATGATATACCCGTGGTGTAACCTTAACTCCTCGAAAATCTCAATTTTCCATGCCTCTATAAATTCTTTAAAATCCTGAATGGAATCCTTCATCTTTGCTGACTAGTTATCAGACTATTATCTTGCTCAAAAACCCTAACCCCAAGTCTGCTCACCCGATCCTCTACCGTAGATGGTGTTAGTGTTTTTATGTTCAAAAACCCCATATTATAATTGGCAATATTATTATGGCATACTAAGATAGGTTTAGAGTTTGTCCAGTTGGGTCTACAGATATCTGATCAATCAGAAGCAACAACAGAAGAACTGACACTGAAGATCTGACTTAGGGAAGCTGTTTCCTTAAGAGGCTCACGCGGTATTATCAGTCCAGTATGGAAAGACGATCAGCGTATCTTCAAAGAAGGTAATGGACCTAATCTGCTAAGATTACATTCCTCTTTTATAGTCCTACCTTCTACAATCAAAGACATCTATGGAGAGTGTTTATTGAAAGATCTATAAGTACCAGTTCTTGAAGGGAACTAGGGTTACGCCAAATAAGAAGAAGAAACACTCCATATCAGCTTGATGAGACTAGATCTTTGATTGTCATGCACCTTCTCAATACAACATGTTCACGGTGATTAAGATGATGAACTTGAGAAGAGTTACTGATGCTTAAACGAAAGGACACTAAGATCACACTGTTGTGGGAACAACCTTATAGAGCGTCACTGAAGTGGACTGCATCAGAGTGGGCTCTCCAAGTGAAGGGATTTCATTGGACTTCTGTATGCATGGCTCTCCATCTTCAACAATCCACTAAACCATTGTAGACTGGGTATGTACCTTGTGTGGGGCACTTGGGTAAGATTATTGTATATCTACCTTTGTACATTGGATTATGATTTAGTGGATTGGACGCCTATGTGATCGTCCCCTAGACGTAGATACACACCGTATCGAACTGGGTAAACATTGTGAGTGTTCGTTCTGTGTGTTTGTTTATTTTTCTCTGATGTTCTCTTCATAATCTATCATTACTTAGTAGGCGCTTAACTGAATGAATCAGTATTCTAAGTCAGCTAACTATTTCTGACATTTTACGTAAAATGAGGAAATGCAAAATTACATGTGGTATCAGAGCTTTTAAGTCTACATAGTGACTTGATCCGAAT